TGGTGCCCTCTGGGGTGGCCGGCAAGGTGTTCTCCATCGCGACGTATTGACCGGCAAGGAGAAGATCAATGACGGTCTGAGAATCTTCACGGAAGGCGACAGCATGCTCTAAGCGCATTAACTCGAGGAAGGAAATACGACGGGTCGGACTCGGCTCCTCCTTGAAAAAATGGGGGAAGAGTCGGCGAACGTACTTGCCAGATAGGTACCCGCCAGGTGGAATGTGCGAGTAAAGGTCCAGCGGTGCCGCGCTGCTTACGACTGCCGGATCCGATGGGATCGGATTACTGTTGAGTGTCACGTACTGCGCCCACGGGTGACGATGAATGAGATGGATGAGCATGATTGGGCGGCGTCTCATCAGGCAGGCTCGGGTTAGGCGCCACCGTAAGCCTGTTTCGGCGTCGGGCAAGAAAACGCGATGGTGGCGCAGCTGGCAGAGGAGCTGCGGGAGCATTGGCTGCTCGTTCCGCTGCAGCGGCAGCTGCTTGTCGGGCGACGACGCTCGCAAAGGAGAACGAGGATGGCTGTCCGGACGAGCCAGGAGGAGTAGCCTCGATAACACTGTCTTGTATAGGAGCAGCAGCCCCAGAAAACTCATATGCAGGAGCAACATCTCCGGGCGTCGAAGGCGGAGGAGATCCTGGTGGCAACGGAATCGACTCGACGCTGAAGGAGAGCGGGTGTTCGACCTTAGGTTCGACGAACAACGGGTCGTGATAGGCGGAAAGAAGATCAAGAGTCAAGGGAGATCCCTGCGATGGAGCGAGAGGGCAGACCGGATCGGTGGTGATGTGGAGGTCTGCCATCGGCTGATCTGGTACTGCGGGATCAGGAGTGACTGGTTCGTCCTCTTCCATAGCCTCCCCGTTGCTGTCGGGCAGGGAGGAGTCATTGTCCGGGGCCACCGGGGGAGGAAGGGGGGCACTATCAGCACCGCCGTCGAGCAGCTCGTGAGCAGAGATTGCTTCCGGTGAACCTGAAAATAGGGGGATCGGTGACGTAGAGGGGAATGAGGGGTGACCCCACGGTCTACCTGCTTGGTTCGTAACTGAAGGTTTACCATCATGCTGCTCGTCTGGATCGAGCGCAGACTCGACGGGCGGGAGCTCGAAGGCACTTGGGTTCACGAGAGAACTCATTATCTGAAAGGATTACACTTCAGCTGAGGGTCGCGCCGTGCAGTAAATGTCGGTTAACGATGTTGTCACGGAGATAGCGAACACGCTAATAAAGAAAACGTATGCAAAAACTCGCAGAAGTAATACACCTGAATGTTGGAATGCCAAATGCAGAGGATGTGAGAACGGTGTAATAAAAAGGAGAAATGAGGAAGTAATTTAACGAAAAAGAAGGGAATGAATAAAATCATCGTATTATAGTGATGTAGTACGTTTGCGAAACCGAGTATTGTATGGGTGAACAACGGGCGAGCTAGGTGGGGGCGATGCCTGAGGAGGGTAATGATGATCGTATCCCGTTACCTGAGCCTGTGTGGCGTTATGCTGAGCGAGAGCGGTTGTTTCTTCTGCAGGACTCCACGGGGAAGTGAACACTGGCCCAGAGAGCGTAAAACATTTCTTAACTTGGTTCATGTGGACGCGCTTTGGTGGGGACTGAGGAGAAGTGATACTGGTTATAGTGAGATGGGGGTGGTCCACCGAAATGACCCGAAACTGACCCAACCAAGGAAAACATAGTTTGGGTGAAAGCCCGATCTTGGGGGCGAAGTCCCGCAGGTAGACGCGATCGCCTACTGAGATGTGTAACGGGGGCAAGCCAGACTTATCATATTGCTTCTTGAATAAGGCGCTTTGTTTAGCGTTAAACACAGCTGCTAACGTCCAAGCGGAGTGTAGAGCGGAGACAAGGGATTCTTTGTAGATACTGGCGTCCGTATCGGTGGGAATATGTTGAAACACCTTATGCTTAAGCATGAGATCAATATTGAAAATAGGGTCTCGTCCAAATAGTAAGAAAAAAGGCGTCTCATTAGTACTGGAGTGAATGCTGGTATTGTAAGAAAAAACACAAGCTGGAAGGAAGACATCCC